TTTCTTTGCTGAAATTATATATTACAGATTTTGTGGTGCCACTGCTCAGCAGTATAAAAGCATGTTTATTATTCAGCATTTAATGAGTACCAGAAATTGCTGTGTGTATTCTCCATTCGTTCAGAAACAATGGGCAAATGCCCTGTGGAGACTGGGGGAGGTGAAGGGCTCCCCTGGTCCTGACCACCCACAAGATAGATGGGGGCAGCTGAGCTTAAGGAGATTCCTAAGGAAACTGTCCCGTACTGATCCCCTGTGACTTCTGTATCTTTCCAGCAAATGCTTACTCCCCACACTCAGGGATTGTGCTTCTGACACTGTCAGCTAGCAAGGCAGTTCATATCAAATGACTGCCATCTTATTAAGACTGTTGTCTACTAATAAGCAGGGGATTCTCATCATTGGCTCGCTTTGTGGAGGAAGTTCTGAACAGGAGACCTGGGATGGGGTTAGTGAAACCATCACTGTGGGTCTTAGCAAACTGTCCACCTGAAAAGAAGTGAACAGTTGGTATGGTCATGAAGATATTTCTAGACAAGGGGAATCACAGCATCTGTGAGCTCATCTGTACAATGACCCCATCATGCTCAGAAAATTCTGTTGTGTGTCGCTCCTCCACAAGATCAAGCCAGTCAGACTCCGACACGGAGAGGTCCCATCGTGAGCAGAGGAACTAAGGACAACTGATGGCTGCTGGGGCCAGCACAGTCAGCTTCCTCTAGGGGTTTGGCCGCTGACACGTTGCCCCAAGTTCTAGTGGGTGGTCTTATATCCATGCACATACTTGATTCACTAAGAGGACCTATGGGTTTACAAACAAATGAACAAAAAGATCACATGAAGTTGGGAGGGAAGAGAGGGGAGGGGTATGGGAAGAGTTGGAGGGGAAAGTGGAGGGTAGACTTGATCAAAACACAATATATGCCTGTATGAAATTCTCAAACCATAAATTAAAAATAAGAAAGGAGAAAGTATACTGCAATTTGATAACTCTATGTACATATTCAATGTCAAAGTTACTAGCCTACAATTTTTTTTTACTGGTCCCTCTTGAGTTGTGTGAAATACAGTGATGTGTTTTATGGTTGGAGCACCAACAGCTTGAGGAGGCAGTTGGAACCAGAGCTAGAGCAGCAACTTTTTTCCTAAAAAAACAAAACAAGACCAACAGGCAGATGGAGCCGAACCGACTTGCCCATGAACTAATTTGCTGCAGGCTTGGCTTAATTCTTACACATTTTGGGGCAGAGAAGGCCCAGTTCATTGGCTTGGTGCAGCCATCTGTGGCTTGGGCAACTGCAGAGCTCAAGGGTCTTTAACAATTAAATAACATCTCAACTACATCTAAACACGGCAATGTACAATAAGAATACTGAGCAGTAATCCAGGTGGGGGCAAAACAAGGAAGCTAGGAGATTTAATCACGAAACCCAGTGTGTACCCATTACAACCATCTGCTGTGGATTACAGACGAGCAGTCCGAGGCACGGCCTGGGAGCCTCTTATGCCATAAACGGGAACAGGTTTGAACTGCTGGCCATGCATAGCCTGTCTTCAGGCAACATTGCGCATTAACCATTTGGACTGTGAATGCTTTTAGTTAGATGCTCTAGTTTCTGGGTTCCAGCACAATGCCTGTCTTCTGTATCTGTCTGCATCACAAGCATGGCTCCAGGAGGCACACAGCTTGCAGTCTCCATATGTCTCTCTGCACTTGAATGGCTCTTAACAAGGCTGTATTCACAGGGTTGGGGACATAGTTTGGTTGGTAAAGTGGTTGCTGTACATGCATGAGGTCCTGAGTTCTAGCTCCAGAACACATGGAAAAAGAAAAGGTTTGGGTGGTGGCATGTGCATATAATTCCAGAGCAGGGGAGGCAGGGGTATGTAGAAGTCTGAGGCTCATTGGCCAGCCAGCCTAGACTACTTGTTAACTTCTAGGCCAGGGAGAAGTTGTCTCAAAAACCAAGGTGATTAGCACCTGGGGAATATTAGCCAAGGTTGTCACATGAACTTCACACACATGTACACACACACACACACACACACACACACACATGCACATGCACATGCACATGTGCACGCACACATATTCACATACACAAAAGATTTTATTCAGTACTTTTCTTGTTACTATGACCAAATGCTTGGCAGGAAGCAGCTTGCAGAACTTTTTATTTCGGTGCACGGTTTAAGTCCGTCACGGCAGTGAAGGCACAGCCATGGGAGCAGGTCCTGGCTGTGGTGGCAGAGGAGGTGAGGCTGATGGCTCACATCAGAAGATCGGGAGAAGACAGAGTGAACGCTAGCTTCCTTCTTCATTTCCTTTCAGTCTGGGAAGAAGACAGAGGTGAACGCTAGCTTCCTTCATTTCCTTTCGGTCTGGGAAGAAGACAGGTGAACGCTAGCTTCCTTCATTTCCTTTCAGTCTGGGAAGAAGACAGAGGTGAAGGCTAGCTTCCTTCTTCATTTCCTTTCAGTCCGGGAAGAAGACAGAGGTGAATGCTAGCTTCCTTCTTCATTTCCTTTCAGTCCAGGAAGAAGACAGAGGTGAATGCTAGCTTCCTTCTTCATTTCCTTTCAGTCCGGGATCTGAGCTCCATCCAAGGGATTGTGCAGCCTGCATTCAGACAGCTCTTCAGCTAAGCCCCCCAGAACCCCCTCACAGACACACTCAAAGGTGTATCCCATCACGGCACCCCAAGGCCTCCCATGCTCCTTTGCAGTCAACTCCCCTTCCTGTTTCAGCCTTTGGAAGCCATTCATCTGTTTTGTGTCCTCATAGTTTTCCTTTATCTAGGATATCATGAATGAAATTAGATTGCACATAACTAAGGACACTGGCCCCTTCACTGGGCATGCCAGACTTGAGACTTAGTCGTGCTGTGGGCACCTGCAGTCTGCTCTTTCACTGTGTGGATTGCACTAGCTGCTGATCTGTTGGCCCAAAGATTTTGTTTCCAGTTTTTGGCAATTGCTAATGAAGTTGCCACAAACATTCCTGTCTAGATTTATTAGGAACTCCAAGGTTGCTTTTAAAAGTGATGTGTCCATCTTCTTGTCTCACTACGGAACTTGAAAGTTCTAGATACTCTGGATCTGTGGCAACACTTGGTACTGTCGATATCCCTTTCTTATTTTGAGGTGTGCAGCGGTGTCCCATTGAGGTTTTAATGACATCCACCATCCTCTTTATGTATTTATTTGCCAGCCACATAATCCTTTTCATGAATGGTGTTTCCTCAAATGCTTGTGCCATCTTTTTAAAATTTGAATAAAAAAGATTTATTTATTCATGTATATGTACATATATGTGAGGGTGCCTACAGAGGCCAGAAGAGGGCGTTAAATTCCAGGGAGATGGAGGTGCAGGTGGTTGTGAGCTACCAGACATGGCTGTTGGGAATCAAACTCCACTCCTTGGGAGGGAGCAGCATCAATCGTAACCACTGAGCCTTCTCTGCAGAACCCCAGTTTGGATCTTTTCCCTTAGGATGCTGGGGACTCAAACCCACGACCTTCCACATGCTGTGCAAGTCCTCTGTCACTGAGCCATGTCCCCAGCCTGGGTTCTTTGCTTGTCTATGACTGGATTTTAAAGTGGGTTTAAAAATGTATTCTAGATGTCCTTCATTAGCTATACGTTTTGATAAATAAGAAGCTCTCCATCTGTGGTTGGCCTCTTTATTCAATTGCTCAAGAATGTCTTCTAAAAAGCTCTTTATCTTGGAACTAATTGTAGATTCACACTTGTAAACATAATAGAGATAACTGTGTGCTCTTCCCCCAGTTCCCACACCAGGAACGTCTTGCAGAACTAGATAGTTCAACATCAAGACCAGGGCAGCAACCCTGAGAGCATCACCAATCTTGTTCCTTCTCACTTGACTTGCAGGCTTTTCCTGTCTGTTTATTCTCTTGCCCTCTCTGCCTCCGTGATGACCTCTAATGGCCTCATCTCTGGAATGTTGTCATCTCAAGAATGTTGTATAAAGGGACTCATATACAGTATTTAACTTTTTTTTAATGCAAGGGGTTCATTCAGGTTGTTACATATTATCAATAGTGCCTCCTTTGAAGACGGTATTCCAAGTTTGCATAACTGCTCCTCAGCTAGGGTCTATTACCAATTAAGCAAACACACACAGATTTTCTTGTGAACACAAGTTTTTATTTCTCTGAGACAAATTTTCTCAAAGTAGCTGGACCTTCTGCTTTCTGGGAAGGCAAAAACAAAACACACACAAATGGGAGGTGGAAATGGAGGTGCACCCAGAACTTGGGGTTCTGAGGAAAAAAGATCAAGGTGAGGTGGAGGCCATTATAGGATGCACAGTGAGATCCTGTCTGAAAACGTCAACAAAAACTGTCACACTTTCAGAGTGGCTGTACCATTTTACAGCACCCACCTCACCAGTAAGCCACCAGTGACTCTTCTCTCCGTCTTCCTTGGCACCTGGATATATACATCACAAAATTCCCAGCCACTGTCGATCTGAGCCGCACTGATGTTTGGTTTTAATTTGCATTTTCCTGGTGAGTGGAGGTGGGACACGATTTCAGACGCTGTCTCCCAGGAGCTCTTCATTTCCAGACGTTCACACGGGAAGCAGTCTCTTCACAGGGAACTCAGCACCGCCCTTGCCCTTCGGTTGTGATTTTCTGTTGAGAACCTGCCTTGTCACACAATGATTTCCAAGTGAATTCAGAACAGTTTTGGAGTCACAACCAAAAAAGGCCTTTTCTTCAATGCGTGATAAACGGCAGACTGACTTCACAGAGACTTAAAGGAGTTAAGGAATGAGGAAGGAGCTGTTAGGAAAGGGGCCAGACCGGGGGTTGCCAACCCTTTAACTCAAGTCCCAGGAGCTTCTCCCCCACACATGCGCAGCGCCCCCTGCTCCGTCCCGCCCCTAGCCCTTCCTCCTAGTCCATGACCAATTAGGGTGGAGGAGGCGGGATCCCGGTGGCCGCGGTGCTGCTTGGGTAGCATCCTTGGTTACTGTTGCTAGGGCAGCGGGTCTCCGCAGGAGTTGGGAGTAGGAAGTTTTGGGGAGGTCAAGGGTCAGTGCGGAGTCTCTGTTGGAGATGGTGAAGCAGACGATCCAGATTTTCGCTAGGGTAAAGCCCTCCGTACGGAAGCAGCAGCAAGGGGTACGGGCCGCGGGGTCGGGCGTGGGGCGCGAGGAGGCCCAGCGCGGGGGGCGGGGCGCGGGACCGCCACGGAGACTGCAGACCCCACGGTGGACAGGGCTCGCTCACAGCCTCAGCCCCGCACCTGGCACAGGTGTGCACACTTGTGCACGTGTACCTGTTTGCACACTCACCTGTGCCGTGCCCCATCCACACACGGGCGCTCCTTGCACTCTTCTAGGCCAGTACCCACCCACCCCCAACCCTGCATACACAGCTTGGAGTTGGGGATGATGGGTCCCCAATGGGGCAACCAGAGTGCAAGTATTGTAATGCACGCTCATAAGTGGAATCGTACAATTACAGACAAGCGTGCACACGTGCTTTCTTTGGCATGCTACAGCTTGCGGGATATCTTATCTAATTAATTGCTTTGCTGCTCTGCGACGTCCACAGATTTCTTCTTCTTCTTCTTCTTCTTTTTTTTTTTTTTTACATGCATTCGTAATAGATGTGCTGTGTGTCCCGACACACTCCCCGCCCCCAGAAAGCATTTTAACCGAGGAGTGTGTTAAATAAATGTAGAAGTTTGCAAAGGTTATGAAGACGGAGGTCCCCTCTCTGCCTCCTGGGTGAGCATGGTCCTGACTGTGTTTGGAGAGAGCACCACCTGCCAGGCCCCTTTTTCAGTTTAATGTTGGTCCTCTGCTGGGACTCCTTGTCCTACTTTTACACGTGCAGACGCCATGTGGTAGGTTAAGTGAGAGGTCAGGGCGCCCAGCTGGTGAGTCGCAGGAACTGACTTTGTTTAATTAACTTAATTTATTGTTTGTTTGTTTGTCTTGAGACAGGGTCTCACTTTGTAGTCCTGGCTGGTCTGGAACTCACTCAGTATGTAGACCAGGTTGGCCTTGAAATCACAGGAAATCCACCCGCCTCTGCTTCCTAAGTAATGGGATTAAAGGCTGGGCTACCACCGCTCCTGCCTCTGATTGAGTTTTTAACTTGACATTCGTACCAAGAATTTTAATTGCTTTTTCACGTTCTCCATTTCCTCTTTCATCTTTCTACCTTTTCCACACAAACCTGCTTCCCAACAAGTCCCCTCCCCCTTTCAGGTCTTTTCTTGTTGTTGTTTGGTTTTTGTTTTTTTTTTTTTTTTTAAGACAGGGTGTCCCTGTGTAGTTTTGGTGCCTGTCCTGAATCTCGCTCTGTAGACCAGGCTGGCCTCCATCTCACAGAGATCCACCTGGCTCTGTTTCCCCAGTGCTGGGATTAAAGGCGTGCACCACCGCCCAGCCTCCGGTCTATTTATGTATTTATTTATTGGTGCAAGGCGCCGAGTTTAATTTTAATTAAGGATTTTGAAACTTACATTTTCTCTACAGACAAAACAAAACCCCAAAAGACCTTTTCCCTGACTTCCAAAGTGAGTATTCAGGCAATTTGGTTCATCTTTATGAATGCCTAGAATAAGTGTCTAATTAGTAATGTTTTACCTCTATTCTTTTTCAGTGTTGTATGTATGCAAATGTGCAACATTATGGCATCTTATAATTTAGCTTTGCCCTCTGGTAATTTATGTCCTTAAAACAAGGAGATTATAATGTCTCTGCCGTCATCATCAGTGGCCTTTATCCCATGAAGATCATTCAGGAGAAGCTGTAAGAAAGGACCCCAGAGAAAAATATTAGTCATTTCAAAAATTTTATTTATTTTTATTTTATATGTACAAGTGTTTTGCCTGCATGTACACATGTGTACCACATGCATGCAGATCCTGCAGAAGCCAGAAAAGGGCATCAGATCTCCTGGAAATGGAGTTAAAAATGGTCATGAGCCCCCATGGGTGCTGGGAATAGAACCCAGGTCCTCTTGTAAGAACAGTAAGTGCTCTTCACCACCGAGCCATCTCTCCAGCCCCAATATTAGTCATATTTGTTTAAAGAAATAAAACAGTAGAGAGAGAACTATGGGCATCTCTGCTCCTGCCTCTCCTTGCAGTTACCAGCACATGTGACTCTGACCTCTGGATTGCTTGGCAGCCAAAGACAAGTTCTGCTATGGTGAGGCCGTGGGCAGGGGAGACCTGGGAGCCTAGAGGCCTTGAACTCCCAATATCCTTGCCTCTACCCCTCAAATGCTGGAGTTACAGGTGTGGGTCACCATCAGAGGCTTTTCCTGTGAATGCTGACTGTTTTGCTCAAGTAGATGGAGAGCCAGATGGTCTTTAACTTGTGTTAGATTGTTTCTTCCTCTTCAAATTCAAGAAACTGGGGCAAGAAGGACAAATACAAAGCTATGCTGGCAGCATAGGACTGTAACCCCACCTACTCATTCAAAGCCAACCTGGACAGTTTATCCAGACCCTGTCTCAAAAAGAGAGAGCTGTATTGGTATGTGCTAAAGCATTTTGGTGTGGTTGAGGCTCTTATTGCAAAGTTCCATTACACAAGAAATACAAGTCTATTCATGGTAACAATAAGAACATTTGATTGCACGTGTGTGATCCTAGCAGTCGACAGGCAGAGAGGCAGGAAAATCCCCTGACTTCAAAGCCAGCCTGACTGTTCTTTGCCATTCTTGATGAACACAGAATGGGTCGTGTGGTCCTCCAGAAAGTAAGCTCAGATGTCACATCATGCTTTCATGATGTCAGGTTGTCATAGAACCTCATTGTGTGCTATAAGCACAAGCAACAGAGAACAGGAATTGACACAAACCTCATTAGTGTCCTTCAGAAACTTCACCCTAGCGGGGTTCTTCTTACTCCTGTAAGCTTCGTGGCTGTCTCTGACTGTGAATGCCGTTTATAGTACAAAACCAAGAGCAGTCCAAGGCTTCATCCATCTAACTCCTCGAGCCATTAAAAAAACAAAACAACAACAACAACAACAACAAAAAAAAACCCAGTTCACCAGTTTATAGATTAGGCCAGACCTGGTGGCACATACCTGTCATCCCGGCACTGGCACTGGCTGGTGGTTAGATTAGGGGTGCTGAGTCAGGAGGACTGTTGTGGGTTTGAGGTCAGCCTGGGCCACATAGTGAGCTCCAGGCAACTCCAGTAGGTATGAGACCCTGGTTTAGTTGTTGTTGCCATTTAAAAAAACCTGGGTAAGGTGACACACACCTTTAATTCCAGTATAGGGAGACAGAGGCAGATGTGTCTCTGTGAGTTCAAGTGCAATCAGGTCTACATAGTGAATTCCAAGATAGTCAGGACTTTACACTGAGACCCTATCTCAAAATCAACACACAAACACACACACACACACACACACACACACACACACACACACACACACACACACAAAGAGGGGAAGTGTGAAATCCACCCTATTAGCCTAACGTTTCTGATTCAAATGACTTTTTTTTTTTCTTTTCTTTGGTGGTGGCGGTGCGAGGGTTTGAACTCACAGCCATCTGGATGCTAGGGAAGCACCTGCACTGTGCCACCTCCTAGGTCTCAGGGACTCCCCAATGCCTTGAAGAATGTCTTAAGCACAGTGGTGGGAATTCGTTTGCTACCCCAGTCCCCCTTTTCTGATTACTGCACATCGGGAGATACCAATTGTTTGTAAAGATATATTTTTTAATTGTGTGTGAGTGTCTGTGTGTGGGTATGTGCAAGTCGGAGTGAGTGCGGATACCCTCGGAGGCCAGAAGGGAGCAGCAAATCCCCCACAGCTGGTGACTGCGGGTGCTGGAAACCACGCTGTGTCCTCTGGAAGAATAACAAGTGCTCTTAACTACTGAGAGAGCTCACCAGCTTCCACCCAAGATACAGATTGTTTAAAGTCTGTGTCACCCCTCAGGTTTGTGTATTCCTGTCATTCACACTCCTTTTACTCACTATCTGTTAAACTAGCAATGCCCTGGCCCATAGGGTAGATTTTTTTTCATATTCTTCTCTCATATATTACATCCTAACCACAGTTCCCGCCCTCTTCTCCTCCCCGTCCCTTCTCTTCTCCAATTGTCTTACCCAGATCCACTGCTCCTCCATTTCCCTTCAGAAAAGGGCAGGCCTCCCAGGGATATCAACCAAACACAGCATAACAAGTTACAGTAAGACTAGGCACAATCCCTCATATCAAGGCTGGATGAGGCAACCCAGTAGGAAAAAAAGGGTCCTAAGAGCAAAGAAAAGGGTCAGAGACAGTTCCCACTCCCTTTGTTAGAAATTCCACAAAAACACCAAGCTACACAACCATAACATATATGCAGAGGACCCAGGTCAGACCTATGCAGGCTCCCTGATTGTTGATTCAGTCTCTGTGGGTTCCTATGAGCCCAGGCTAGTTGGTTCTGTGGGCCATGTTCTTGTGATGTCCTCCACCCCCTGACTCCTACAATCCTTCCTCCCCCTCTTCCATACGATCCCCTGAGCTCTGCCCAGTGTTTGACTGTGGGTCGCTGCATCTGCTCCCATCAGTTGCTGGATGAAGACTCATGATGATTATGCTAGGTTCTGGTCTAGAAGTATAACAGAGTATCATTAGGAATCATTTCATTGACTTGTTTGTTTGTTTATTCATTTATTGCTGGTTGTAATGTCTCTTGAGAGAAAAAAAATCTAGTCAGAAGCCTTGAACCCTCAGATGCCCCCCTTTTTCTTCTGCTTTCAGAAATTTTATTTTACAAAATGATTTTTCAACCTGAACTTTTCATGTTTTTTAAGTAAGATGTTTCAGTTAGAATCTGCTTAGGCCAGGCATGGTGGCACATGCCTTTAATCCCAACCCTTGAGTTTGGTGGCCGCAATAGATGGATCTCTGCCAGCTGGGTCAGCATGGAGAGATCCAAGCCAGTCAGGGTTACAAAGTGAGACCCTGTCTCAAATTTAAAAAAAAAAAAAAAAAAAAAGAATCTGCTTTGGAAATTATTCATACTTTCTGTAAACTTAGGGTTTCCTTGGGTAGGAATATGACTCCTACCCTCTAATCATGCATCTAAATGAGTCTAACTTAAACAGGAAGTCCTGCCTGCAAGAAAGTATTTTATTTCCTGGTGAAAGACAAGCAGTCTTTTTAAATCTTCTTTTTATGGTGCATTACAAAATACTTCCATTTGCATTACATCATCCGTCCCCCAACCCCAAGCACTCTGCAAAGGAGCCTGGAGACTTTGTTTCCCACACTTTTTGTATAAGGGACCTTTGATTCTGAGAGCAGTGGCTGGTCACACACCTGGTAGTTGGGTTCAACGTGTAGACTTTAAATTGCAGGGTTTCTTTATAGCCTTGAGTGTTGATTTTCCTGGCCACGAAATGAAAGAGTAGGTGATGGAGACAGGAATCAGAAAATGGACCATTGTCAGGGTCTTAGGGCCTCTATTTCCACATGGGCTTGGAGAGTGGAAGTGATTCCTCCCAGGTCACTTAGTAAGTAGTGGCTGAGCTGTGATGGAAAGCACAAGACATCAAAGACACGCACACATATCTTTTTAAGCCATACAACTTTTCAAATTCCTGAAGCTTGGGATCTGGAGGGATATAACTCAAACTTGGACACCCCTGTTAGCTCTCTGAGAAGGTTCAGACATCACGGCTGGGACTCTGTGTCTGTGGTTCACACTTGCTCAGAAGTGCTTATGGGCTGTAGCAAGAGTATGAATTTTTTCTCCAGAATGTGGAAGCGGTGCTTAGCATAAAACTTTCAAGGGTCTTCTCAATGACAAGGATGTATTTACACCATCAAATTTGGATATTAGATCATCCAAAGATGGTCAGAACCTTAATACAGCATGGTGGTGGTTTGAGAATGTCCTCCATAGGCTCAGATGTTTAAACACTTGGTCTCTGGCTGGTGGCCCTGTTTGAGGAAGTTATGGAGCCTTTAGAAGCTGGAGTCTTGCTGGGGGAAGTATGTCAGTGGGTTGGGCTTTGTGGATCTATAGCCTCACCTGCTCCCCATTCACTCTCTTTCTCAGCCTCACCCGCTCCCCGTTCACTCTCTCTCTCTGCCTCGCGTTTGTGTGTGAAGACGTGATCTCTCAGCTTCCTGCTCCGGCTGCCTGCTGTCAGGCCTTCCCCCTGCCACTGGGGACCCTCCCACAGGAACCACAAGCCAAATCAACTCTTTCTGGCATAAGCTGCTTTTGGTCATGGCGTTCTATCACAGCAACAAAAAGTCACTAATACAAGCGTCAATTTAAGCCCACTAACAGTTCAAAGAAAAATGTTATTACACTGGGCTGTGGTATTTTGTCATAAAAGTACAGTTTTTGTTGTACCATTACCATGCTAATCATATTCAGGTCAGAGGTCTTGCTGGAATTTTACCATTTATATTCACCTATTGTTCTTGTATTTGCAGATTTATTCCATAGAAGAAGATGAAAAATTAACACCTAGCTTGGAAATTCTCTTACCCCGGGATCTGGCGGATGGATTTGTGAACAATAAGCGAGAAAGCTACAAGTTTAGGTGAGCTTGTGTCCTCCTCCCTGTCTCTGCTTCCTCGCTGAGCAAGTGCTTGTCCTGCGTCAGTTTCTGCTGCCGGAATCGCCAGCCCCGCTACTGTGGCTAGCATAGTATGGCCATCTCCTCTGGCACACAGAACTCAAGTGCATTACTGAACCCAAGACTAAAAGGCAGGTTTCCATGTCTGAGATTATGCAGGGCTGGAGAGACGGCTCTGTCCATAAAGTGCTCGCCTTCCAAGCCCGAGGACCTGAGTTCAGGTCCCCAGAGCCCATGTGAAAGCTGGACAGAGTAATGCACCCTCAGATCTCAGAAAGGACAAGGTGGGAGGCAGAGAGGTGGAGCCCTGCAAGCCCTGGGGCCAGCTCACCTGGCAAAGATGCAGACCAATGAGAGCTCCATTCTCAAACAGAAGCTGGAATGAACCCTGAGTATGGACATGTGACGCTGACCTCTGACCTCCACACATACATGCACTCCACCACACACAAATATGCACACACATGAACACACACACACACACACACACACACACACACACACACACACAGATATTAAAGACGTAATACGATTGTAGTCTCAGATTCCAGCTTTAGTGTTATGATTTTCCTGCTCTGTTCATTATGGGTTAGTCCCTGCATGAAGTCCACACATGTGTAATGTTATTAAATGTGAGATGTCCAGTCTGTGTATTAGTTATATTAGTTAGGTGGCTTTATTTATAAATGATATACAGGTCTCAGGTGTACATGTAAATATTCAATATCTGTGATATCCTGTGGAACATCCATTGGAATCATGTCTGTCCTGAAATGAGGTACTCTGTAATGTATTCATTTATTCTGAAATTTCAATATAAAAAAATTAAGAGGATATAAAATATCTCAGTAACCTTTTCATTTTGATCTCATATCATAGTGACAAAAATTTGGATATATCAGGTTTAATATATTATTATGATTAATTTCCCAGGCTCCTTTTTTTCTTTTTCTTTTTTTTTTTAAACTGTGGCTGGAACACTTTAAATAACACATATGGATGGTTTTATATTTCTCTTGGGCAGTGCTTAACCATATGGTTCAGGTGAATGTCGCAAGCATCCACCCCTGGGCATTCTTCACTGCCAGCCTGAGAGATGAGGGGTCCATGGGGACAGGAAGAACAAGACCCTGAAATGGAAGAGTGCTTGGCTGTTTGAGGAAAGAAAGAGGACCATGGGTCTTACAGAGCAAGCAAGGGACAGCAGGGAAGAAGACAGGGCATGGGGAAGCCAAATTATAGAGGAACTTATGAGTGACTGGAGCTGTCACCTCAATTTCCATGGGTAGGAGAAGGGTGATGCTGAGGAGGATGGACTCATTACATGCCTGTTGTAGTAGCATGGCCCTTGCTGACCATGCAGTGGGATGGCCCTTGCTGACCTTGAAAGTGGGATGGTCCCTGCTGACCTTGAAAGTGGGATAGCACTTGCTGACCTTGCAGTGGGATGATCCCTGCTGACCTTGCAGTGGGATGGTCCCTATTGACCTTGAGGTGGGATGGTCCTTGCTGACCTTGCAGTGCACTGGATGGCACTTGCTGACCATGTAGTGGGATGGTCCCTGCTGACCTTGCAGTGGGATGGCACTTGCTGACCTTGCAGTGGGATGATCCCTGCTGACCTTGCAGTGGGATGATCCCTGCTGACCTTGCAGTGGGATGGTTCCTGCTGACTTTGCAGTGGGATGGTCCCTGCTGACCTTGCAGTGGGATGGCACTTGCTGACCTTGCAGTGGGATGGTCCCTGCTGACCTTGCAGTGGGATGGTTCCTGCTGACCTTGCAGTGGGATGGTCCCTGCTGACCTTGCAGTGGGATGGTTCCTGCTGACCTTGCAGTGGGATGATCCCTGCTGACCTTGCAGTGGGATGGCACTTGCTGACCTTGCAGTGGGATGGCCCTTGCTGACATATGCAGCATATACTGTAATGGGGTAAGGAAGACAGGCAGAACAACTGTGGTAGCCCCTCCTCGGTGGGAAGTGGAGTGCTGAGAAGTGTCCCTTGTATCCAGTTCTGCATTCATGGATCTAAGCAACCTAGTACTGAATAGAATTAAAACTGTCTGTACTGAACACACACAGACTCCCTTGTCATCGTTCCATAAACAGTATAGTATACAGCTATTTACAAGACATTTGCAATGTACTGGGTGTTGTGAGCAATCTGCAGAATACATGGGAGGAGATGCATGGACTATGTGGAAATGCTGTTATACGATGTAAGAGATCTGGGTCTGAGGGTGCGGAGGCTTGATTCTAATTAATTCTGAGCATTTGGAGGTCAGAGCTGACAGTCTGCCAGTGAACTCATTACAGGTAAAATAGAAAGCGGGGGATCAAGGATGGCGGAGAGCTAGGGACTGAGCATTTAGAAGGACGGAGTTGTCGTCTTGTGGGGTGAGGAAGATTTCAAAAAAGGCCTCAGACAGGAAGGTTAGCCTGTGCAATTGAGATGGGCTTTAGGCGAAACCTACATCGCATCCTAATGAATGAAAGGACGTCTTGGTCATCGGGAACCCATGTTCTGTCTCGGTGTGTTGATGGGCGTGAGGACCCTGAGTCATTTCTTACCCCATGGCCTCAACTTCATCTTCATAAGAGTTAACTGAACTTCTTACAGCAGTTCTGAATTCTAGGATTCTCTTCTGTTCTTCAGAGGAAAGCTGGTCAAAGTTCTTCTCCAGGTTGTAACATAACTCTGTTGTCAAATGAAATGTTTGGAGATGGTGTTACTGATGCTCAGTATACAATTACCCGTTAACTATAAACTTTGATCTTGAAGTCTTTGTTCTGAAGTAGGGAGATAATAGAAATATCTGGATCATTACTTGTCCCACTATTCTTTTAAAGACCAGAAGATATCATTTTAAAATTATGTAATGGATGTAAAGGTCTTTTAAATTTGTTTTAACTAGGTATATGTGTGTATGTACATGTGTGTGTGTGTGCAGGTGCCCATGGAGGCTAGAAGAGGTTATTGGATCCCCTGGAGTTGGCCTTACAAATGGCTGCAAGCTGCCCTGTGTGGTGCTGGAAACTGAACTTGGGTCCTCTATAAGAATAGCAGGTGCTCTTAACCTCTTAACCTTAATGGCTGAGCCATCTCTCTACCCAGAATTCAATATGCTTTATGAGTATTGTTTTAAAATTACATTTCAGTCTAATTATTACCTTGGTAGAGGGCTTAGCATGTGGGAGGCACTTGATACATATTTGTGAAATAGATAAGTCAGTAGGTAGGCTGACCATAATTAACTTTATACAAAGAACTTTTCAGAATATATTCTGTGGGTGACTCAGTGCCATCTTGAAAGCTCCTGGCACCTCTTGCTGTTACAGTAATAGATATAATTTCTAGTACTCAGGGAAGTGGGGTAGAGAATGTCTTATTGTCTCAAGGTCACCAACGACCAGGTGAGAGAAGCCAGAGAGCCCTGTTCGTAGGCAGCTTCCCAGAGGCCCTGCTGGAAGTCTGTAATCCACCACCAGCATAGCTCAGTCAACCATGCTCCTTAGAGCACACTCATGCATGGTGGCCACTGGCTGTGTATTCTGTGGACCCCTGTGCCATGCTGGTGTTCAGATCTAAGGCTGTGGTTTACCTATAGGGTTTGAAGGGGTGATCCAGGCACACCAACAGTAAATGCTACCACCTCATACCTGCTGTTGCCTCCTAAGTCCTGAGACCAGTGGTTCTCAGCCATGGATCGTGACTCCCATAGGGTTGAATGATCCTTTCATCTGAGACCATCAGAAAACACATATTTACATTATGATTCATAACAGTGGCAAAATTACAGTTATGAAGTAGCAACAGAATTATGTTATGGTTGGAGGGTCACCACAGCATGATTAACGGGTCTCAGCATAAGGGAGGTAGAGAACCACTGCCTTAGACTATCTCAGTGTAGAAGTCACCTTTTGCTCATCTCAATGAAGGTTGATAAGCCCTAGGGGTCCTTTGAAGTTAATATTGGTCTGTGATGATAAACGTCTTTCTATTTTGTATTTCTAATCTAACTCTGGGCATTTGTCTGAACTTGTCAGTAATAAAAACTGTCTTAGGTGTCCTGCAGTCTCGCCACTTCAGGTGAATATGGCCAGCGACTTGTGAGGGCAGGCATGTTAGCCAGAGGTCCAAAGGCACCACAAAAGCTGGTTAAGATGCCCTCAGAAATTCCACTTGAGAGTTTTTACTTTAAAGACTGTATCCTCTCCAATTTTATTTTAAAAAATGTTAAGTGACTGGGAAGAGATCTCAATTGGCAAAGTGCTCACTTTGCAAGCACAAGAACCTGAGTTCAATCCCCAGAACATACATTTTAAAAGCCAGATGGGATGGCATGCTCATAATCCCAGACCAGAGGGACAGAGCCCCCTGGACTTGGTGTCCAGCCAGCCGAGTCCACTTAGTGAGCTCCAGGCCAGTGAGAGCCTCTCTTTAAGACAAAAGGTGGATGAAACCTGAGGAAAGACACCGAGGTTGTCTGTTGACCTCCACATGCATGCACAAGTACGTGCACACACATGTGCGCACACACACACACACACACACACACACACACACACACACACACACACGGGGGGGGGGGATGTTTAAATGCATGGAAAACATAAGAACAGTGCTCTGTGGAAGGTCCTCTTTTGAGATGTTTCAGTGGTTGCTGTTAGCACCTCACCCCTCGATAGGAGAATACTGTCTCGCCTGAGTGTCTTGCTGTGCTGGTGATCCTGTACCAAACTTAAGAATGATCCTGCGAGGATGGAGCAGCCACTATGCCAGCTCCCAGGACTCCTGTCCCTGCCGTTCTGATGGAGACCTGGCTTTGCAGGACAGATCAGTCTTTTCTGACTTTTGAATCATGGGGAAGAAAATGAGACAACAGCCCCCAAAGCTGGCATCACTGTCATAGAAGGAGGCATCTAATGCATGTGCAGTAACTGCAGTTTAAATGCCGTACATTCAGGGATCATGAAGTTCACACTTGCAGTCTTTCCTCACAGGCAGACATCGGAAGCCCAAGGGCCTTTTATGCCCCGTTCTTTCCAGCCCGTGCCGTTCTGGAGGTTTGACTCTGATACCAGCCACAGATACTGTCCTGTTGTGGAATGTTTGTTCAACTAGGCAAAGATGTGTTACATCTGTTTATGCTGCGTTTGCTTAACTATGTAAAGATGAGTTGCTGTTTTACCTTGCCTACCTAAGGCACCTGATTGGTCTAATAAAAAGCTGAACATCCAATAGCTGGACAGTAAAGGGATAGGCGGGGCTGGCAGGCAGAGAGAGTAAGTAGGAGGAGATACTATCTAGGCTTGAGAGAGAAGGAGGGAGAAAGAGAGGGAGACGCCAGGGGCCAGACAGACAGACACAGAAGAAGCAGGAAAGGAGGACATACAGAAGGAAAGGTAAAAAAAAAGAACCCGAGGCAAACTGTAGATGAAGAGACACAGGTTAAATTAAGTTATAAGAGCCAGCTAGAAGCAAGCATAAACTAAGGCTGAGCATTTATAACTAACAAGAAGCCTCCATGTCACGGTTAAGGGGCTGGCAGTCCAAGAAAGCCTGCTACGCTGTCCTTCTTGAGAGCTAAAAGCACACAGTTATTATGTGGTTCAAAGCTGGTGTGATTCTTTCAGAGGGGGACAATTGTACAGATCTTGTCAAAGCCATATTGTTTACTCACCATTTGTGAGCAAGAGCACAATGACACAGTGTGAGGGGTGACAGGGAAGACATTGTGTTAGCTTAGCTAAGCCCAGTGATGTCAGTGTGGGGTCATTTACAAACGTGTTTATGAAAACAAGATTCATTAATCCAGTAGTGTTTGAAGGCTCAGCTTTGAGATAATTACCATTTTCACATTGCAGATTTCAAAGGATTTTTGACCAAGACGCAAAGCAAGAGATCATTTTCGAAATCATTGCCAAACCAGTTGCTGAGAGGTAGGATTTCCCAGACTCTGGTCAGCGGGCTCATGGCTTTTCATCTGTCTTCAGGCCTCGGGTAATGGTGGTAATTTGCTTCCTTGTATCAATCATGCACTCTGGCTTCAGGGTGTGAAACGGTGATAGCATTAATTATTCATATCAATAGCTGTTTGTTTGGACTGTTTGATTGTGAGCCTCAAAGCAACCCAGAGATGCAGACCATCCAGTGTGGGCTGGAAAAATGGCTCAGTGGTTAGGAGAACTTTCTGTGTTTGCAGAGACCAGGGTTGAGTCCCCAGCACACACATGGCAGCTCACAACCTCCTGTAACTCCAGCCCCGGGAATCTAACCCCTCCTTCTGGCCTCCAAGGGCAACCACACACCTGTGTACATAGTAACATGCAGCTACATACACACAAACACATAAAGAAATCCTTTAAAAGGTTCCATAAACCAAGGATTGTATAGGTTGACACTGCTCAAGGTGGTGTGGCTACTGGTATTGGAAATTAAGATGGTTTTTTAGCTATTATTTCAATGTACTTTCCTTGGTTCAAAATTTCTTTTATTATTACTATTATTATTTAATTTCCATGTGTGCCTGTGTGGTATATATGTGTGTGTTCACATGTGTGTGTGTGTTTGTGTGGATGCACTTATCTATGCTTGAGAGTGTGGAAACTAGAGGTCACTGGACGTCAACATGGAGATGTCTATCTCATTGGCTTCTCTGCCTTATTTTTTTAAGATAGAGTGTCCGACTGAACGTGAAGTTAACCATTTCATCAAGAAAGGCTGGCCAGTGAGCCCCTAGGAACCACTGCTCCCTTCACAGTGATGGGCTGAAAGCATACACTGCTGTGTCTGGCTTTTCACAGGAGTGCTGGGAATCCGAACCCAGGTCTTCGTTCTTATGTGACAAGCAAGCACTTTACCCAGAGTCATTTCCTCGGCCCCTTGGTATTTCAAACAAATGACTAGATGGACAAAGAATAAGGTTAAAAATGACACTCAGGAGGCCTAATGATGGTTGGATCTGTTCTACCTCAGGGACCTGTCAAAGCTTGGTCCTCACTTTCTAGAGCCATAAGTTTCAGTATAGCCAGACAGTTCCAGACTGGTGAAGAATGAAATTTGCACGATGATACTAGATAATCAGATGCAAACATTCTGATGTGTCTTAGCAAAGTCTCTTTGGGTCTTGATCAGTGGTTCGTTCTCAACCTGTGGGTGGCAACCCCTTTGGCAAACCTCTGTCTCCAAAAATATTTACATTAGGATTCATAATGGTAGCAAAGTTACAGTTAGGAAGTAGCAATGGAATCGTTTTATGGTTGGGCGTCACCACAACATGAGGAACTGTATTAAAGGGTCACAGAATCAGGAAGGTTGAGAACCACTGCTCTAGACAGTCATGGCCCTTGGCGAACAACTCGTCCTTTGTGGGGAATCTCACTGGGAGCCACTGCCAATGAAGGTTGCTCTCTGATCCCAGAGCCATTGGAATGGTTCCATGGCCATCCGTCTTTACAGCTAAGATGGAAAATATCTCTGCTAAATGAGCCACCTTTCTAGTCTACCAGTTCGTGTCCCTTTCTGTGGACAGTGGGAGTCCACTGTTCCTCTTGTCCCTCACATTTCCACAGTATGGATCTTGCCTAAAACAAACACTTTTCATTTCATAAGTCTTCCTTCACTGAGAAAATACAACCAAATAAGCTTCAAGTATTTCTTCTATAACCACAACCACGAAACCTTTGTTTGGATTCAATTCAGGTTGTCCCTAGTCAGACATCAAACATGGCTGGAATCCACTCCTTTTAGTAATTGTTGGATTAGGTTATTTTTCAGAGTTTTAGTCTGGCATTTAATTTTAAAAAGTTGTATTTATGTGTTTGTGTATGAATACACACGTGTGTGTAGGTACCCACAGAGGATAGAAGTGGACATTGGGCTCCCTGGAACTGAGGTACGGATGGTTGTGAGCTACAGTGTGGATGCTAGGAACCAAAACAAGTCCTCAGCAAGAGCAGGACATGCTCCTGACCCGTGAACCATCTCTCCAGCCTCTAGTCTTTGTTTTATTTTGAAGCTTCCTTCACTCGTGGAGGGAAAGGTGTTTCTGTTTCCTGAGAGTTGCGTCTTCTCCTTTCCTGACTCTATTCCCCACTTTGACTCTGTCAAATTACAGTTTATCTTACTGTCCTTCTGAAGAATGATAGATAATGAAGGCCAACAGAAGCAACGGCTTCTGGGAAACCCTTCCTACACAGTGGGTAGTGATGGACAGCAGCTGGCAAGACTTGCTCTAGTGCTGGGATTTGTAACTGACTGTCCATAGCACAGCCATACTTGAGATCCGTGTTAACTAGCTGGGTGTGGCTGGGGACACAAGGGAATCTGTCCACTTCTTTGTCACTCGCAGATCCAAATGTCTTCAGCTGGAGCATGAGCTCGCTTGACAGAATTTCTGTCCTCTGAGTTTTGGCTTCCCTTTTATCCCCACCCTTGAGTTATAGGTCAGAATTTATGGCATATTCCTCACTAAATAGCAACCAGATTTGCTTAGGGTTGTCAGATAACAGTAAGACTACATTTATGTGTGCAATGGAGTGCTTTGACAACTTCAGAGCGCTGTCCTGTGGAATCTCACTCGACTCATGAAGGAATCTCGTGGGGTCTCAGGTACGATAACTTCAGATGAGAAACCAGGACACTGGGTATTTGATGGACTTTTGCTAGACCTCACAGTTAGGAAGCTGTGGATGTGAGACGAGAACAGACCACCTCTCCCCTGAGTTGACCTTCCTGTTGCTTTAATCGCACTTAGCATCTGTCACCCTTGCTAAACTCACGGATGTTATCATGTTACTGAAAGGCCATTTTGTCCAACCTCATCCCCCCCTCCCTCTCAGCCTCATTCAACCACGTTACTCGACTCCGTGCCCCTGGTAGACTAAGATGCGCATTTATCTGGGACAGTCTGTATCGGGGTGGGGAAGCAAATTTCCTGTAGCTTCCCATTTCCTGGATTTTCCTTCCTGTGATCCAAGTGTGCACAGTCTCTGACAGCCCCATAGCTCACTCACACTCAGTCACAGTTCTGTGCACTCAAATGTTAGTTCTTTTATTTGCCCCTAAAACGTATAAATACTGTCAGAAGAAAAGAATTAGACCATATAAATTAAACTTTAGTCATCATTCATTCAGTGAAATTAATTAATTAGTTGATTAATTAATAGTTCATTTTAAGACAGAGTCTCACTACGTAGCCCTGGCTGTCCTGGCACCCTCTCTGTGGATTGGGCTGGTCTCAAACTCAAACATCTGCCTGCCTCTGCCTCCTGAGCACAGGATTAATGGTGCACCAGGCACCATGCAGTAACTACTAACAAAGTGCTCATGATGTGTCAGGCCTGGACTATAATCCTAGCTCTTGGGAGGCTGAAGCAGGAGTTTACTACATGAAGGCCAATGTGGTCTTTCAGATTGAGAGACATACACATATGTAGATAATTAAAAAAAAACAGTAAAATCTTACAAAAAAAATTAACAAGTCTCTGTTGGTGTGTTGCCTTCCTAAGACGGCACACCCTGGCCACCCTTGTAAAATCCGCATGCCCTCCCTCAAGGCCATGGTGTCCCTGATGCCTCCCCACCCTGGTGTCCATTTCAGCCGCCACACTTGTCCCCTGAAGTGTCTTTTCCTTGTGCATTGTGTTTGTGTTCCCTGTCTGTCGCCTTTTCTGTCTGCTCCCTGGGGATCTGCAGACGCCTGTCACAGGCACCTCAGTGGGTATCCAGCAGGTATCTGTGGAATTAGTGACGTCTGAGTTGCTAGGTAAACACACAGTTTCTAGTCCAGCCCAAAATGTACACACAACAGCAACAAAAGGCAAATCACATTCTTGATTCTTTAACATGTTCACAGCTAATGCGTTTGTGTCTTATTTATTTTAAATAACAGAAATTCCCATTGAGGAGCCATGCACTCGCCATGCGCCCCTCAAGATGTTTGGTTATTGTTGCATGTTTTGAGCCATGAAGGACTTTCAGAATGCTGAAAACTTGGTTGTAAAAATGAAAACAGCTTAAACAGACCTCCCAGTTGCTTGATTCATACATACTTGTTAAGAATATTGATTTCTAGGCTGCAGAGATGGCTCAGTGGTTAAGAGCACTTGCTGTTCTCGTAGAGGACCAAAATTCACTTCTCAGCATCCACCCGGCACCTCACAGCTGCTTCTGATTCCTGCTGGGGGAATCCTGTGCCCTCTTCTGGCCTCTTTGGGCATTACACTCATATGCACATACACAGATGCACATGCATACACACAATTAAAAATAAATATTTATTTAAAAAGGACATTTATCTCTTCTGAGGCCCCATTTTGCCTCCATCTTAGTGTTAACAAGTACGGTGTGGTTTTGCTGGAGTGATGTCACTTTTCCAACTTTGGGCCCCTAGCTGGTTATGTTAGGTTTATTTTCATTTATAATGAAGCATCCTTTATCCATGGCTCTTTAGAGATTCACACACAGAGACACTAACTTGTGTTCACTCCCAAACAGTAGAATTCAGAAATCAGCATTTCTTTTTTCTCTGATATAACTTGTTATTACTTTATCATCACCTAAGTTTTCTTTACCTTAAGACAGAAATGAGATCATTATTTTAGCTAGGAAAAAAAACGTCCAAAAAAAAAAAAACAAAACAAACAACAACAACAAAAACTGAACTGTGGGCTGGGGATATAGTTCCATGGGAGAACACTTGGCTATCATATATGAGGCCCTAAATTCAGTTCCTAGCAACACACACACACACACACACACACACACACACACACACACACACTGTTATGTACTTTAAATATACAGACTTGCATTTGTTTATGTATGTATGTATGTATTTGTGTATGTGTGTGTATATGTGTTTGTGAAATGTGTGTGCATGTATATGTATGTTTGTATGTGGAGGTATGGTGTAATGCACTTGTGTGTATGTGCACTT